GACATGCGCTCCTGCCAGAGAAGGCAGGTAGCCTGGACCCGAGGGCCACCCTGGGACCCAGATCGTCTTCCTCTCCCTGCTGCTGCTCGCCTTCCTGTCCCGTGGGGCCTGCGGGCCACCGGCAGTCACGCTTCAGAGAACCAGGTCAGATTAGGCCGGGAACAAAGCTCAGTTGTTGCAGAGCTTCCAAAAGGCCACTGACAGCAAGACGCCCGGGGGCCACCGCCCCCTCCGCTGCCAGCAGCTCAATGCCCCCTTCACGCAAGCTGCAATGGACCTGGGCCTGGGCGGGGACAGGGAGATAAGGCGGAGAGAAACCGGGCTGGGAGCAGAGGGCCACACTCAACCTAGAGACCCAAGGCCAGGCCACCCCTCCAGAGCGGCAGTGAGAGCCACCAGAGGGCCGGAAGGACGCTCAGAGCCTGGCACTCAGCGGCGCTCTGGGAATGAGTGACTGAACCCACAGGGAGAGTCAAAACAGGCCCGGAAGCTTGGGGAGACAGGCACCCCGGGAGGCTGGGTCCCTCGTGTGCTCTGCGCTGGTCCCCAGGGGGCTGCACCACCACTCACACCCACGGATCCCCCCCCAGACCCAGACCCCCAGACCACAACTCGAGCTGGGCATTCCACGATAATAGCTCCAACAGAGAGAGCCAGGAACCCAGCAATCACCTCCCCCCACACACGGAGGCTCCCACCCCCGGGGCCTAGGGCCTCTCTCTCCAGTCCTCCCTCCCCCAAGGCCACTGGCCGGTCTGCCCAGGAACTGGCGCTCCTCACCCCAGGCTGGGCCCTCGCTGGGCGCGGAGGCTTCCTTATCGAGCACATCTTAGACAAACAGCACAGCCCACGCAACACTGCGCATGGACAAACAGCAGTGCGGAAACAAGGTCCCACCCCCAGGTCTCATCCATGAAGGGTGGCCTGTGTCCGAGGGCTATCCCGGGGCTTGGGTGGAGGGTAGGGGACAGACTTCCTCCCGCTAGTGGGGTCCCTGGGTCCTCAGGTGAGATGCCCTCTGCTGATGCCCTCCTGGGAGGTCTGAGCATGTGCACCCGGTTCGCGGGCTCTAGGCCTCTCCTCCCGAGGGGCAATCTCCTGTCCCCTCTGCACCTGTCCTGGCTCCAACCGGCTACTTGGAAGGGGGTGGACCTCTAGGAAGCAGGGGGGCGGCCCCAAACTCAGGCGCATGCCCCTGGACTCTTAGGACCCTCTGGGCTGGCAGGGGCAATGCTGCTGGGCAGGTGACTGCGAGCCGGGGTGAGCCACAAGGGCGGGCAGGCAGACCCCCACCGTGCCTGAGTGTGCCTCCCCGCCTCGGCACCAGGCCAGCAAGAGCGATGGCCCCGGGTCTCAGGCTCAGCCAACTTGCTCACGACTCGGGGGGCTTCGGGGTCCACGAGTCCCACAGTCCTGGGCCAAGCCCACAGCGCCATGGACTAACTGCTGCACGAGGCGGCTCTTTCTCTCTGCCCGGGCAGAGACCCCGAATGAGCCAGAGACAAGGGGCAGCGAGGACGGGGTGGGGGGGGCAGAGAAGAGGAAGAACCTGCCTCAGCCCCCTGCCCGCGCTCACCCGGCAACCCGGGGTTAGCTCACTGGGGAAGTGTTCTCGGAGGTTCCTCTCCCTTCCTGTAAGTCAGGTCCGAGGGCACTGGGTGTGAGCGAGACCACACTTTTCCAAGGGCAGCCACAGACACGGTCTCTCTCAGGCCCTTCCCCTGGGGTCCAGCCTCCTCCCCAGGCCTCTGGAGCTACCCAGGTCTTTGGAACCTCTGGTAGGCCAGGCACCCATCTGGGAATATCCCAAAAGCCGAACCTCAGACTAATTCCCAAGTGCACCCCCAGACCAACCCCCATGCCCTGCTCCGCATTTCTGTGGTTTGAGGGCCTCAGGGAAGCGCCTGTGCCCATGAGAACTCCCAGGGGGGAGCCAGGGACACTGAAAGGCCAGGGCCCCGTGACGCGGCGTGCAGGGAGAAGGCCCAGGCTCCGGACACCAGAAAGCAGAGGGGGTCGGACCGCGGCCGGCTCTGAGGCCGAGGGGCTGAGGGAGAAGCCCGGGCCTGGGTCCTGGTCTCTGAAGCCGCACGGGATGCAGGGAAGATGGGGAGCTCCCGGGCTTCAGACGGCCTTCTCGGCCTTCCTGGAGCGGGGACGAATGATGAAGACAGTCACGGCGCCAAGGTACCCCGCAGACATTTCTAGGCCTATCGCACAGGGGCTCCTGCAATCGTCACAAGTCAGCATCAGCCCTGTTTGAAGGACAAGCGAGATCAAGCACCGGCCCCATGGCAGGGAGGTGCATCCTGGCTTCCGAGGACCCCACAGTCGGCCCCAGGCCACACTGCCTGCACCTGACACCCGCCCTGCCCCCCACAGAATAGCAGGTGAAGTGGGTCCGGGAAAAGCCTGCCTGCCCCGCAGCCCCCCACCTGGAAAGCCCTTTGTTATTCTCTCCCTACTCTCCACCTCTCACTTCTCAAGGCCCAGGTCTCAATCTTGCCTCCCACCCAAACCTCGTGACACGCCCATGGTCCCTCCTTCCAGGGCATTCGGTAGCATTTGGAGCCTGTGGCTCAGATCGGGGTGGGGTGGGGGGTGTCATCCCGCTGGCATCTCGCCTACTTCTCGTCTCCCCTGTGAGCAGGCAGCAAGGACCCTGGTCTTTTCAGCATCTTTGTACCCTCGCAGTACGTGCCCAACGCATGGCACGTGTTCAGTGAACGTGTCCAGACCCAAGACACCTGGGATCCACCCCAAAGCATAGCTTAAAATTTTTTCCCATTTCAGAGACTCATGAGTGCACAAACCCAGCTCTACAAAGGACTCTCTTACAATCATTCAATTTCTTTCCGAGCCCATAAATAGATCCAGAAGCAATAATCCCATTCAGTCCAGGCAGAAAAGGAAAGCCTTCTTGGCTGTCCTTGGATTTTCAACCCTGGGGGGGATTTTTAACACCATCTGGGCTCTCCTTAACTTCAGAGCATGGATGCTACGTAGGGGTCAGTCTGACTTCTGCAGAGCACCCCTCTGGAACAGGGCACACCAAGAGAACGCATGCTCAAAATGAGGCCAAGAGGCTGCCCGCCCCTGGGCCAGGCCCCTCCAGTCCCATCCCACACAAGTGCAACAGAGGGACCCAGCCCGCCTTGGACTACTGCCAGCAGGGAAACAAACTGGAAGGGGTCCAAGCCCTCCCTGCTCCCAACCTCCAGGGTCCCGCCCCGTTAGGTAAACACAGGAGCCGCACAGGCTGCCTTTACAAGAGCTGGTTCCTACGCACCCCATTAAACCCTACTTCATCTTTCTTTTTTTAATTTACATGGGGGGAGGGGGAGAAGGCGGAAGGAGAGGAGCCCAAGCCTGCTTTGGATGGTCTCAAAGTCTCCCCAGGAAGAGGCCAAGGACCTATGACCTGGCAGGACCCACATCGCCCCCGCTGTCCAGACCCACCAGCAGGCGGTCAAGCCCAAGGAGCCCTGGGCTGCCCTGGGCCAGCGATCCCAGGGAGAGGGCCGCACACAGCAGCAGTGCCCACAACCATCTCAAGTATTTGGAGCATGCTAGGGAGGAAGGGAGGCCAAGAGCCAAACCCCAGCATATGCCACCTGGAGGCCCCCCACCCCCCCATTACATCAACGCGCCCACGCTCCTCAGATAGAGCTGCGCTGGGGGTGTCTGGAGGGCCGCGCTGTTTGCAGCCACGGGGTAAAAGTTGAAATTCTAAGCCACTGACCCAGAAGGGTATTTTCAGGGAAGTTCTGAGTAACCCTCATTGAGACAAGTTATTCTTTATTACTCATTTCAGTTCCTGAATGTGGAAAGCAGGCAACTGAGAAATGGCCCAAAGGCAGGGGGATGGCCCAAATGGCCTCCTCAGCGCCAACAAAGTCCCATGATGCTATCCTCTTATCAAGAAAAATCAGTTCCTGAGTCCTTGGCAGAAAACTTCATGTCCAAACAGATTACGGGAGGGACACCGTTTGCAAGGTGAGCAAAAGAGAAGATTCCACTTATTATCTGAGAACTGAGGAGGACACGGATCCTGCCAGGATCCCTTGGTGGGGGGCGGAGCGGGGTGGGGGGTGGACCACAAAGGGGAAAAAAAAGGAGAGAGATCTGGGTTACCCTTATCTGCCCTCCCATGCTTGTGGCCTCAGTTTGCCCATCTGTGAAATGGAACTTCAGCCTGACCTGTGCGAGGGCACACCGGCAGGTGGAGTTAGGGTACCAGCACCTGTTGGGGGAGCGCCCCCAAACCCACCGGATGAACCCGGGGTACTAAGCCGGAGCCTTGCTGGATGGTCCCCTTTGGCGAACTTCCCGTACTCCAGCGGGTAGAAGGGTAACAAACAGTTCATCTGAAGAAAGGATGCTAAGGCCTGGACCACCACCAGCCCTGGAGGCTGAGCCCCAGGAAATCCTCCACGCCACCACGCCCTGCAAACACACGCATCCGCACACCAGCGTCCGCACGACGGGACCGCACACCGGGACCCGCACACCGGGAGGGGCGGTGCCTGGAGAGGCCGAGACCCAAGGGCCAGGAGGGCGAGCAGGAAGTCCAGCCGGCCTGGGGCGGAGGCCCCGAGGCGGCCCCTCCAGACACCTGAGCGAGCAGTGGCGGACGGCGGCGAGGGACCCCGAGCCAGGCCCGGAGCGGGGCCAGAGTGCGGGGTCAGAGGCCTCGAGCGCCGGGACTTCCCCCCGCCCCCCGCACGGGTGGTCCCGGACGGGCGCGCGGGCCCCGCGGCCTCGCAGCAAGGGGCAGCGCCGAGTCCGCCGAGGGGCTCAGCGCGCGGAGGTCCCTGGATCGGGTCCCGGGTGGGGGCTGCGAACACCTGCCCGGCGCGAACGCCCCCCCTCCCCCAGCGGAAGCCTGCGCGGGAGCGCAGCGGCCCGCGACGTCCCCACCCGCCGCCCCCTCGGCTCAGGTGGGGAGGGCTGGTCCCGGGACCCCGACGCCCCCCCCCCGCTCCGGCCGCGGCGCCCACCTGAGTACGACTTCTTCATGGTGTCGCCGCTCCCAGGAAAGTGTGGCGGCGAGGCCGCGGGGCGCGGGCTCCCGGGTCGCTAATCCCGGGCCCGGAGTGCGCGGGGTGGGGCGGGAGGAGGGGAGGCCCCGCCCCCGGCCCCGCCCCCGGCTGTGGAGGTGCGCGCCCGGCCCCGCCCCGCGCTGCACCTGGCGCGGCCCCGCGGCCCCCGCCCTGCACCCGCTCCCGGCAGCACGTCGGAGGGTGGAGGCACCCTCGGACCCGCGCCGCCCGCACCGCCCACCCCCACCCCCAGTGCGAGGGGCTGGTCCCCGGCCGTCGCAGCTCCTTCCCTGCCCTGAGTCCGGGCGCTGGGGGCCCAGGTGGCCGCGGGGGCGAGGCGGTGCCCGGTGGGCCAACCCCGGGGGGGCACAGCCCGCCTCCCGCTTCGTCGCCCGGGGCAGGGCAGAGTGGGCCGGGTACCTGTCTGTCTAGTAGTCAAAAGAACAGACAGCCTCGACTCCTCTGATGAACGGGGGCCTCGGTTTCTGCGTCTGTAAAATGGGCGCGTGTGTCAGCTCACGTCTGTTGCATCTGAGAAGCATTTATCCGTTCTGTGCCGGGTACCGTGTGCCGGACGCCGGGACACGCAGCCCTCCGACCCGTGCAATACAGGCCACAATGACCGCGTGCGTTCCCTGGCAAAAGTTGTACAGAAGAATTCTCTGCTTTTGTATCCTTAAGGAAATTTTCCGTAATATTTTTTTTTAAAACGTACAGAGGAGAAAGTGTTGCATTTTGTCTAGAGGGTGATGCCAAAGCAAGGTTTTAAAGAATGAGTCAGGCGCGCTGTTCCAGGCAGAGGGAAGGGCGTGGCGCAGCCGGAGGCGCGATGTATCACAAACTCTCCGAGGTGCGCCGGGCGGTCCTTCCAGGTTTGCCAGCCCAGGCCCCAAAGTGAAGACCGGAGCCGGGGACGAGATCCACGCAAACTCTCCGTAAGGTCTCCACGCTGCCTGCTCCTGGCCGCCTTCCCAAACAGCCCTCAGGAGAAAGTACGCTTAGTGTCACCAACGCTCTCTTCCCCTCCTCTACGTTCCATGGGGTCCAAGAAGCATTTTTATTTCCTGCCAGAGGATGGGAAACTCGTATAAATGAGAACTCAGGTCCATGTGGCCAGGTGGGTGAGTCCTTTCTACCCGCTCCCCTTCTTAAGAAATCTGTCCAGCCAGGTGACCTTCCCCAACCCCTCATTAGAGCCAACTGGACCAGAGTGGACCCCAGACTCTTGCCCCAGCCAAGCTCCCACTCCTTATCTACGGATGGGAGGCTGAGGCAGGGCTGGGGTGTGAAGGAGGGGAGCAGCCCCAGGCCGGGGTGTATAGAGGGATGAGCAGCAGCTGCCGCACACCCCACACACTGCCCCCAATCGTCACTTGCGCTAGCACAACACCCCTAACTGCCACATGTGCAAATTCCACTCTGGTCCAGCTTCATTCGGATTCAGCCCTATGCACGATACGACCCAGACACTGAGGCCTCTGGTTCCCAGAGCCCAAGGACCTCTCAGGAGTCTGTCCAATTGTTGGCTTGATTCATTTTACTTAGCGATGCCCAGACGCACCTCCATCCTCGGGACAGATGGATCCTGGAGTCAGGCAGGACCTTCGAGTGTCTGTCGCGCTGGCCCCACTCTCGACACTCACCTTCCTGCCTGTGGGTCATCATTCACATGGACCTGGGCACCCAGGAACCAGGAACACCTGTGTTGTAGTGCCACTGGACATCTAACATTCCCCAGACTCTGAAGTTAGGATGAGAGGGAGGGAGGGGCAGTGAGGTGTTCTCGATAAACGCGTGATGTTTGAGATGCATGAAGGTTAATTGTTTAAGCACAGAAAGTTTATTTTCATTCTTTTGATGTACAGCTGTCTGATAAAATGTATAACAAAATTACCTGCCTTACTAGAGTATACCGAACTTTCTCGTGGCTCAAGACCATCTTAAATGACACCTTTAATGGTTACTAACTCATATACTGCTATGTGGCTTCTTCAAGAAACATCCCCAGACCACCGTGCCTGCCACCTTTTAAAAATTCTTTTTTAACACTCAGCTCCCGTGTCACCCAGCGTGTGGCTCGTGACAAGCTATAGGACTCTGAGTCCCAGTTTCTCCCCCTATAAATGTAATGACAGTATCTTACACAGCTTTCGAGGCAGATGTATTGATTAGAAAAGCAAAATAAAAGGGTGCCTCAGGGGCTAAGTTGATTAAGAGCTTAGGTCATGATCTCAGGGCCCTGAGATCGAGCCCTGTGTCGGGCTCCATGCTGGTCTGGGAGCCCACTTAAGAGTCTCCCTTTCGGGGCACCTGGATGGCTCAGTGGGTTAAGCCTCTACCTTCGGCTCAGGTCATGATCTCAGGGTCCTGGGATGGAGCCCCGCATCGGGCTCCCTGCTCAGCGGGGAGCCTGCTTCTCCCTCTTTCTGCCTCCCTTTCTGCCTACTTGTGATCTCTGTCTGTCAAATAAATAAAATCTTAAAAAAAAAAAAGTCTCCCTTTCCCTCTGCCCCTCAGACGTTAAAGGAAAAGCAAAGTATATTAAGTGCCTCACTTGCTCCTGTCACTGAACCTAAAATGTGTGGCACTTGCTGGGAGTGGGCAGTGGGCAGAAGCCTGAGAGCCTTGCAGGAGGTTGGAGAGACCCTGGGGGGAGTAAAGAAAGTGCTGCTGGGGGCGCCTGGGTGGCTCAGTTGGTGAAGAGTCTGTTTTTGGCTCAGGTCATGATCACAAGGTCCTGGGATCAAGTCCTGCATTGGGCTCCCTGCTCAGGTGGGAATCTGCTTCCCCCTCTGCATCTCCCTCTCCCACTCGTACATACATGTGCGCGCGCTCTCTCAATAAATAAAATCTTAAAAAAAAAGGGGGGGGGGGAGTGCTATTGCCCACTGGGGGACAGGAAGCCTTCACCAAGTGGGGGCAGAAAGCGTAGGGCAGCCGGTGCCTGCAGTGGTGGAGAAAACAGACGGAAAGTGTACTCGTGAACTTGACGATCTAGCTAAGGGGCTTTCCGGGTGGAGGCAGAAGTCTCTGACTATAATAAAATGAAAAAGGAGAAGGACGAACTAAGAGCAAACGATTTGTTTCCAGTGGAACTGGGAGAGAACGGGAAAAGCCAGAGCCGTGTCCACAGCCAGAGAAAGGTTTGCAGAGTAGGAAAGGGCCTCAGAACAAACCAGTCCAGATGTGACGGTCAGATCCTCTGGGAAGACCTCGGGAAAAATGTAAAGGTGCTTCCTAAACTGCTTCCCACTATAGAGGCACTCGGAGGGTCTTGCCTTGGCAGACCCTCTCTTAAAGAGATGGTCTTCAGGGGCGCCTGGGTGGCTCAGTGGGTTAAAGCCTCTGCCTTCGGCTCAGGTCATGATCCCAGGGTCCTGGGATCGAGTGCATCGGCAGGGAGCCTGCTTCCCTCTCTCTCTCTGCCTGCCTCTCTGTCTACTTGTGATCTCTGTCTGTTGAGTAAATAAATAAAATCTTAAAAAAAAAAAAAAAAGAGAGAAAGATGGTCTTCCGCGGGCTTTTCCCACCGTATCCCCACAGGAGGACAGGGACAGGCATATCTAAGTGGCGCTAAGGGAAGGCAGCCGTCTGAAAAGTCTCCCTGCTGTCTGACTCCACTCTAGGACATTCTGGAAGAGGCAGAACAACGGAGACGGTAATCAGGGGCTGCCATGGGGTAGACGGGAGGGGACGGGGATGCAGGTGGAGCACAGGGGATTTTTAGGGCCGCGAGACTAGTGCGTGCGATGCTGCCGTGGGCTGTCCTCGTCATCCCGCGTTTGTCCAAACCCATGGAGAGCGCGACAAGAGGCCTAATGGGAACTGCGGCCTTTGGCTACTAATTGTGCGTCAGTATTGGCTCAACAGTTGTAACACAGGTGACGAGGGGATGCTGGGGGCGCGGTGGGGGCAGGGCGGGGCCCATGGGAACGCTCTGCTCTGTGCCTTCTGCTCCCCTTTTCTCTAACCTAAAACAACTCTTTACACACAAAGTCTGTTCATTTTTTTTTTTTAAACTTTTGTGGCTGGGGTTTTTAATGCAAGGAGCCAATTTTAAATGAACACACAGGCAGCCCCCAAGCTTTTAAAGGAATTAGGCTCGGACTAAACGGAGATAAAGACCAGGCAAAATGAAAAGAGGCCTTTGGATTCTCAGACTTTTAGAGGAACAAGTGGCGGGGGGTGGGGGGGAGAAGGAAGAAGCTATTCAGTTGCAAACTCTGCTTTCTTATGAAGGAGGAAGCGTGACTCTGAGAACAGCCTCAGGTCTGGAGAGCCCTGGAGGAGTCCTCACCACTCCCAGTCCCATCCGCACCAGGTGGCCTGAGCGACTGGATCCTGCACCTGGAATCTAGTCCACAGCACGTGGAGCAGACGTCCGGGAGACGTCTTGGGGGTGGGCGAGCGTACTTGGCACGTGGGAGCATGCGAGCTGCTGTGGCCCAAGGTCAGGCTGTGTCCGAGATTACTTCCCAAAAACCGGCCGCAGTATGGTCTCCATCCCCGTTGCACACTGTGACCTTGGCGTTCCTCCCTGCGTCCCTTCTGTCTGAACGTGGGAGGGCTTGTTGTTTAATTGTAACCCTTGAACTTGAGCCACTCCAGACTTCCGTGAGATGCAGAAACCAAGGCACATGGGAGAGTACTGGTCAACTGCCCGTGCAAACAAATCCTCCCAAACTTAGTGGCTTAAAATGACACGTTTAACATCCTGTGGATTCTGTGTGTCAGGACTGGGTGCGTGGCTCAGCTGGGCTCTGGGCTCCAGAGGGTCTCACAGATGGCTGTCAGGGGGCTGGTTGGGGGGATCTCCTCTAAAGCTTCCACTAGGGAAGGATCCCCCTCCAAGTTCATGGGATGGTTGCCAGAACTGAGCCTTGGAGGCTCTTGGAAGGTCTCAGTTTGGCACCAGCTGGTGGCACCTTGACACTTGGGACTCCCCAACACGGCAACTTGTCCATCAGCGGGAGACAGTCTGTGGGGAAGACGGAAACAGTGATCTCGTGTTCTGATCACGGAGGTGGCCGTCCTGAATACCAGGAG